GAGATGGCACATTTTTTCTGATGCTCATGCCACAGCCCTAAAGTTCTCAGAATATTTGGGCAGCTCTCTGGCCTTTCCTAAAGAGCTTTAAAGCTACCTGAAGTTTACTGGTTCACTGGAGTTGCTTGAACTTTTTGTGAAGTACATGAATTTTTTATGAAGTTAATGAACCTGTCATAAAATTCTTTGAACTTCATCTTGCTTCAGTTCTTCGAAAATTCTCCGGAAGTTTTTGCTGACTTATCAGGAAGTTCTTCCCAACCTCTACATAAAGTTTCAATCACTGAAAATATCTTTTAATTTATTGATAGTTCTACACTGATTAAAATTCCCGGGAATGGTACATTTACACGGCCATTGAGATTAACCCAAATTTAAGTTCAGTTTACATATAATCGCAAAAAGTTAAGGAACTCAGTGATGAATAAGTTTTCCAAATAAACCTCAAAAATCTGCCGGAAAATGACGAAAATTTTACTCCTATAGGAGTAGTACCAATAGACTGAGAGAATCCAATCTTCCGTATTGCCTGCACGGTATTTTTCGATGGGCCATAGTTCCGGTGCGTTGAGGGGGGTTCATGTCCTTCGGTACGAAAGTGGCACGAAGCTAGATCCAGCCAGAAGATCGTAGGGCCCTCGTGTTGCTTCAACAGAGGAAGCAGACACTTCTGGAGACACTCCTTGAGGTAGATCTCCCCGTTTGTCACATGAGCAGATCGCTTTCCAAATCATATATTTCTAGGCAAACTTTGAAAGTTTCTGCTTCCTTACGGAAGATCAAACTTGTGCTGGGCGTTGAAGACCAGTAGCCTCGGAAGTCCACCTTGACGTAAGTCTCATCATCCATGATGAGACAATGAGGCCTCGTCAGCATCTGGGTGTACAGTTTCCGGGCCCGTGACTTTCCCATCGTGTTTTGCCGTTCATCACGATTTGGAGCCTTCTGTACTTTGTACGTATGCAGTCCCTCCCGGTCCTTGGCTGACTTGGACAGATTCAATTTTTTGGCCACCGAAGCATTTTGATTCCGCTTAAACACTTTCACGACACTCTTGTGATCCTGATCACTAACAGAACATCCATTTCGTAGTAACGATTAATCACACGACTCACCGTTGACTGCACGATTCCGAGTTGTTTTTCGATGTCCCGATGGGAGAGTTGAGGATTTTCCAGGTGCTTGCGCAAAATAAATTCGCGGCGTTTCTTTTCGGGTGACGCCATTTTTTTCAAATATCGAAAAACTGACAGCGATAAAAATACAGTGTAAACAATACACTCTAAACTACATCTACTCAAATTTTAAAGAGAAAATACCCAATGGGTAATTTTCTACAGTGTTTTTCCGTGATGCAATTTGATGTGGGTAACCATTTATTAGAGTATTTTTGCGTACTGGAAATACTTCATGCTTCTTAGAATTTTCATGATGCAAGGCCTTTATAATTCTGTTAGATGCTCAAAAATCTAAATTGAGAAAATATCACGGTTGATATCAGAAAAGCTGAAAAGGCTATCAGAACATAAGCTGCAAACTTAGATTTGATTGCTATTCCAAATGACATTTGGAATGACCCTTTCCTACATTTGAGTTGAAACTTCCATTTTTATCAAATCGTCAAATCCCAAAATGGAAACTGATTGTTTCTAATTGATGCTGCTTCAAGTCTTGGCTTCTGAAATGGGCCATAAGTAGAGCCATGAATTGATCCCTAAGTCTTGCCTTTGTGACCTGAGCACAAAAGATTGTCGCACTGGCCTGGCCTGGATATCGTCAATCGTGATTTTTCAGGTATCCACAATCAGATTTGCTTCCACTCACTTCGCTTTAATTTTGTTTGTCTTATGAATTCATTAGGTGTTATAATGACAGATTGCAATGCTGGGAAAATATCAAAAAATCAAATCTCACTAATGCCCCAGATCACGGTTGATTTCCGCAGACCAAAGCAACTGTGGATGATATACAAGCTACGATATCGAAGCTACGAATATCAAGCATACAAAATTCACCATCTACAATTCTAACCAAACCGTGCAGAGTTGAGTTTCTTGATTTTTGCTTTACATCCGAACGCGACCCGAAACTACACACTTAGAAAAATTGATGTAAATTTAGGTGCTCTGAGACTGACATATACGAGCGTCAATTTTGACATAAAATTGAGTCATAATAGACGCAAAATTCAGCTCAATCATACATATTTTCGAATTTTTCAGTCTCGGAGCACTCAATTTTACATGACATGTTTGTTTTCGTCTCATCCTTTATGTCAAATATGGATTCCGTCACGTGTAAGATTACGTATTTCTAAGTGTGTACCGTTACTGCTGGCAGCAGTTGCTTCAACCGGTTAACACTCGTGTTTATTTCAGTTACCGTGAGGACGTAGTTTTTGATTAGCCCCGGTCCCTTTCAAATTGTATCATTATTTATGTACGGTCCATATATTTTAAATGACGTTTCACATTCATCTAGCGATGGCCGATTTTCATTCGAATAATCGATTAATCGATTAACGAACCGAAAAGTAAAATATTTGTAATCGGTTATATCATGCCAATATAAGCATAAACATCTCCAGAGGATCATCACCGATCGTTTCAAACATGTGCTGCACTCTCATTGGTGGAAAAATGGCAGCACAGCGAACAAAAAAATAATCGATTAGTTGTTAATCGAGTAATTAAAAAATGGGACATCTCTGATTTTGGTGTGATTGTTTTGATAAAAATGAACGCAAAATTTCATCTCTATCGAGGGGGCAGCAAAACCACAAAATTACCTTGAATACGGGGGGTATTCATTGGATGAAAGGGACCGTGAAAGAGGACACTAAAATAGAATGTTTTTCTTCCGATAGTTTCATCTTAGTATTCATCTTTGGTAGCTTCGTGTCTGCCATCGGTGAAGAGTAAAGAGAAATAGCAAACTATGCCTCCTCTCTGAGTGGTGCGAAGACGGACCTCAAAATCGAACCACTTTCGAGCTGTCAAATCGAACCACTTTTTTTATCATTGTGGTTCGTTGAAATAGATAGAAGTATTGTTATCGTCCAAAATAAAAAAATAAATATTTTTCAGTAATGTTTTTGATCTTTTTAAAAACGTGATTCGAAACGACTCAAACAATTAAAAATAACAGTATTATTGCGTATTTTGGACCAAAGTAGTCTCCTGCGCTGAAAAAAACCCCTCCGATTTTTTTTCGCTCAGGAACGACTGTGACTTCGGAGAACGTTCTAAGGAGATTTGTGATGATAGTACAAAAGTTCCAGGAAATTTCAACAGATTTTTCCCGCGACAGAAGAGGTTTCAGTGGATATTTTAGTTGCTGCCAGCGAGGTTCTACGGGGGTTCTATAGAGTTTTCATGTTCGAGTTTCACACGAATTGGAGGGAAGTTAAATCGTTGCCATTGGAGGTCCCAGGGAATTTCGACAGCACTTCCATAGATATCGTCGGCCACATTAAATTTGCATCTGATTTGCAACTGAATTCAGATGTTTTACACAATTTTTATCAAAATGAATACTGCACAACCGGTCACTGGGTTTGATTTGAAAATTGAGATCCACCTCACAGAAACTGAGCCACTCTTTTCGTACTGCTGAATCCTTGGAAAACCTGAATAGGCTTCGCTTTTCGTCGTGTCCATCTTTATAATTGCAAAAGTGAGCAAAACACTTCATTCTGAATTTTATTCCACTCCGTAAAAACTCCAGCTATGAACAATGTCAACAAACAATCACAAAGTCACGAATCGGCTCTGCACAAAAAGCCGTTTGACACTTCTCTCTACCAACCGACGGTGATGAAACGTTTATTTCAACACTACCAACATGAAGAAAATTTCACTTCGCACCACTCAGCCTCCTCTGTGCGATGTGCAACGGAATCATTTTTTTTTTCGATTCAACTCTCAGCTTCACTTTTACATGTTGTGAATAGTCAAAAGAGCTTGTAAAATCAATAGCAAGCATGATATTTTGTTTCAATACCACGCGTGAAATTGATGATATAGCCTACACTGCTTGTAAGTTACAGGAAAAAATTGTAAAGTATGTGTTTGACTCATACATTCTCACTCTGAGAGAGCGCTCACGAATCATAAAACTCTCTGAATGCGAAATTTTCTGATTTCAAATGCATTTCAAGTCCATTCTAAGCCGCATAAACCTCTTCTAAATCATGATAAAACCGAAAATGCCACTTCCCCGGGGGCACCGGAACATTCCCGGGAGGGCTAGTGTGACCATGGACTCTAAATAAGGCCATTACTGCCCAAAATTTGTCAAATGATGAAGTTTGATATGTCGCCTAACGTGTTTTGGTTCTTGTTCAGAATTGGCCACTTCCTCGGGGGCACCAGAACATTCCCGGGAGGGCTAGTGTGACCATGGACTCTCAATAAGGCCATTACTGCCCAAAATTTGTCAAATGATGAAGTTTGATATGTCGCACGATGGGTTTTGGTTCTTGTTGAGAATTGGCCACTTCCCCGGGGGCACCAGAACATTCCCGGGAGGGCTAGTGTGACCATGGACTCTCAATAAGGCCATAACCGGCCAAGATTTGTAAAATCATGAAGTTTGATATGTCACATGATGGGTTTTTGTTCTTGTTGAGAATTGGTCACTTCGCCGGGGCACCGGAACATTTCCGGGATGCCCAATGTGATCGTGGACCATCTACCGCCATTGGTCCAATTACTTCATTTGAGAGAAAAAACTTGATGTTCATCGTGTGTATACTTATTACAGAACAGTAAATCCGAATGCCGACCAAAAGTGACCCCAACGAGGACTGGAATAACTCCGGAACCATGTATTTATCCAAATATTTTCAGATGGATTCAAAAATTTCAATAGATTCCCGAAAAAATGCAATTTATTGTGAAGAAAAAGATTGATAAGTTATGTTTTTAGAGCTAATTGAATTTTGAAATCTATGCAAATTCAGACGTCAGGCACGCAAAGGTTAAACCGGTAGTACTTACATCCCCGCAGCAAAACCTTCTCCAATCCAACGATGGGAGATTCGAACGCTAAGCACCACACTATCGCCAGCGTTACCGTGAGTCCGAAATCTCCCCAAAAGTTGTGAGTAGCTGCGATGTCTGAGAAATATCCAGCATTTCTCACCGATCCCAACAGCATCGTTTGTAGCGGAAGATGCAGTAGGTAGATGCTATAGGACAACCTGCCCAACGGTTGCCATATGGATAAACTCAGAAATGTGTCGATTGGTCCACCGTAGCCATTGACACAGGCGAACACTATCCATGCAAGGCATCCAGCCCAGACGACTCTATTGGTGGATTCGTAGACGGCGTCGACGATCACCGGATGATCAGCATAGGTTTCCGGTTGTTGAAGCGGATAATCTCCCAGAAGGATGGCTAGCATGATGCTCAACGAGATAAGCCATCCTGAGATGCAGGCGATCTTTGACAGTTGTATCCTGTGATGCTTGGTTTGATGCAGGATATATCCGAGGATCACTCCGACTAGCCAAGCTCCCACTCTAGTATGAGTAGGATAATACACCAGAACCATTCGGCTCTTGTCTATCGCCTGCCGTCCACTATCTACGAAAGCTAGTCGGAGATTGTTAACTAGGAATGAACCCACGACGCATCCCATCGAGAGCAGGATCAACACAGCAATGATGTAGAGTACTCTTCGTCCCCACTTCCATAGTGGGTAAATGAGCAAGGGCGATAGAACGAAGAGCTGCATATCGACCGATAGGTACCACGAGTGACCCAAGCACATCTTCAATGGATTAACGTAGTTCTGTACGTAGAGCAGAGCAGACCACCAGTACTGTTGGCAGCCATTCTCCATCATTGAGATCGAGGTATCCCACATGGGACCAGAGCCAAAATACTTCATCAAAGTGGACGACAACAGGATGAGTGCCGCCAGGGCTGGAGTTAGACGAAGATAGCGATGCAGGTACATCATCGGGAGATTGAGCTTTTGGTTCTTATCCAACTCCTTCAGAAGACTCCAACATACCAGCAGTCCACTAAGCAGAAAGAACGAATCTACCGCCACTGTTCCGGCAACCACGAGCATACTGTGGTACGATTTCACCCACTGAAAGAAAATAGATCGTGACGTATTCCAACATACACAACTAGAAGAATTTCCTAACTTACATCGAAAATAGCCATTTTGTTAACAGTCGGCCCCAACATCAAAGTCATGTAGTTATGGCAGAACACAATCCAAACCATCGAGATGACACGGATTCCGTTCAAGCAGTCAATTTGACTAGACTTCACACCAGACTGCCTTTGTGTCTGTCGTTCGTTGATCCGAAACAGCTTAATACCGTTGGAGTAGACCGAAAACATCGCCCAGTTACGGTTCGGTACTCGTGATCCAATCAACGCCGTCACTTCATATAAAGTGCTGAGCAGAAGTAGTGCAACGACGATGCAAAACACCACACTGTGAAAATAGAAATGTGACCAATTACGAAGATAAGCACTGTCAAGTGTCATAGGTATCTTACATTGCAGCTACCTCTTTTGGTCCGAGATCGGGCGCCGGTGATTCACATGTGAATGTTATCTCTGGAAGGGTCAACAATCCACCGGCAGAGGCCTTGAAGAGTGCTTGCAGTTGACTGGCAGCGCACGTTGCAGGGAAACAGGTTCCCAACTGCAAGACGAGCACATTGGAACTGAAATCATTCCGTCAGTATTGAAAGCATGGAAGGAAGCCAACATTCACACTACCTTGAATCGGTGGGAAACTGCCTTGCGGCGAGACTGCTCAGGTTTAAGGGAATCGTCATCTGGCAGTAGCGACCTTCGATTCGACCGATGGTTACGTTGCCCGTCTCGTGCGCCACCTTGTGGCACTCGTCATAGTTGCCCAGGTCGTTTGTGTTGCCCTGCAGGATCCCAGCGGGTAATTTGGACCACGCGTCCAGCACTGCGGAAAATATTGAACTTTTAATGATCGGTAGTTTGTTAATTAGATTGAAAAAAAGAAGAACGTGTAAAAGGAAGTCTTGGGTATGATGGATTGCATTTGTGTCAAAAACTAAGATCCATAAGAAGAGTTTTATTTTGCCTTTGGTAGTGCTAGGTGTAATGAGGATGCGGATACGACCAGGTATAACCTCAATCACGTGTGATCTATAGTTCGGTTTTGTGCAATTTAACAGTATGCACCATGAAAAATATCCTTAAGTGTACATAGGGTAAATGACAGATTTGGCAATACTTTTTCCTATTATAATGGCGACTTGAGTGTGATCGATAGAACTGTTTCCGCAAATCGAAGGTACGCAAGTAAATCGGTGATTATCTCTTTTGCCAGTGGTGGTGAGGGGTGATACCCCTCCCTATCTCTCCCCAACAGGAAAGTTTGGTAAAGGAGCTGATTAACCCGATTCGTACCTTTCTCATACAATTTTCACACTACGGTACTCTAACAGAACTATCAACTCTTTACTTTTATCACCTTGACGATACACCACTTTGAGTCTGATGTTAAGCATCTCCAACTATGTAAATCGTTAACTTCACGCATGGAGTAATGCAAACATGATTAGTAAAAGATCTATAATTGTTTAACAAAACAAATCATGTCTCTAAGATATTCTCGCAAGAAAGAAGGTTGATCTGTAATTATTCCAAAGGCCTTCAGATGATCAATCATATTATTAATAAAATATTTTTCTGAAGATCTTTAACTGCTCAATAAATCATGCCTATAAGATATTCTCGCATCATAGTAAGTTGATCCAGTGACCTGCATCTCGTTCTCTGTGTATTATGTCAATACTTGAGGTCTATCAGGTTTTATTCTGGAGGTCTCCAACTGTTCATTAATTCAAATTTCAGATATTTTTCAGAAAGCGGGTCCTTCAGTTGGTCTAATATCTGCATAATGTTATCTGCATAATGATTAACTTGTCATGTCTCTTAGATATTCCTGCAAGATAGCAGGTTGATCAAGAATCATTTCAAAAAAGTAAAAGGGTATGTGTCTAGGGGCACGAACGGAAGCTTGACGTAGGACCGCTAGTGGACGGAACAAATATGTTGATCATTTAGTACTTAACTCTTCTGTTCTACTTTCCGTTTTTAAATTGGTGGCCCTGAAAAGGGCCGTTTGGTTTTTCAAATGGTGGCCACACCAGTGCAAGTCGATGCCGACTGGATGACGGCGGCCTGGTCATGCTTCCTATAGCGGGAAGCCTTTCCTCCGGTCGATGTGGGTGTTTTCGTCGTCGTCGTCTTCTTCGTATCGTTGCGATGCGTGCTGTTCCACTCATACGTCCTGTCCGACGCTTATACGTCCGTTGCTCAAAAGCAAATGACGGAGAAAACATTTACATGAAATTTATTTTTATACAGCCATTGGCTAATTTTTGCTAATTGGTATTTATCATTTTACATTGTGAACATTTGTTCCATTTTAAATTTTTAAATTTTAAATTAACTATCTAACTACATTAAATCCTACCTACTATTTACAAAATTATGGGTAAAGATTTCTAATTTTTTCGTACTCTGAATTGAGAGTCCTAGTTTGGTGCCAACTGGCGAGCGCAGTCATTCTCTTGTCGATTTGATCGAGATTTGCCAGCGGATGAACGTCGGCTATCCGTGTCATGGAGGCAGATTTAGAATCATCTTCAGAAACTTGTTCTGCAGGACTTGGAGCTTCTTCCGATGTGTTTTAGCGCAACCCTTCCATACCGGAGAGTCTCCTTCCATTCATTTCGGCTAAAAAAATGTTTTATTATATTATGGAATAATAAGATATTATGATAATATTTTCTTTGCGTAAGCAACAAGAAAATATTGTAAAGTTTGTGTTTAACACATAATACCTGCCAATTTTGCTACATGAGAGTCGCAATAAGCGATTTTGTCATTTATCTCACCCACTCTTCGCTCTTCACTCTTCGCGAAAAGGCGATCAGAAAACCACTCATTGTGACTCTGTCAAAGCTAAATTTGCAAGTTTTATCTGTCAAACACAAACTTTACAATATTTTCTTGTTGCTTACGCAAACAAAATATTATCATAATATTTTATTATTCCGTAGTTTTATAAAACATTTTTTTAGCCGAAATGAATGGAAGGAACCGGCGGAGACCCATACTCCAGCATAGGCGCAACAATCTGCCTATAGACAGCCAGCTTGTTGACGGTGGATGCTTTCGAGCGACGGTTGATGATCGGATACAGACGTTTCAGCATGATGGTGCCTTTTTTGACTCGGTCTTCCACGACCGACCGGAAGAGGAGCTTACTGTCGAGAATCAAGCCAAGGTAGCGTACCTCGGAAGACCACTCAGTTTCAGCGTTCAGAACCTTTATCTTTGATGACGGTTTGAGCCGGTCGGTGTTGCTATGCGGAAACACAATGGTTTGCGTTTTGGCCGCGTTCACACATATCTTCCAGTCGGTGAGATATATGGTGTAGGCATCCAATCCGTTTTGGAGCTTCGATAATCGTCCCTTGAAGCTGATTGCCGAATCGTCAGAAAACTGCGACAATGTTCCCCCTTGCGGCAGTGTCGGTATATCCGATGTGTACAGATTGTACAATATGGACGATGCTTCCTTGAGGGACTTCTTTGGGTACATCATACGGTTCCGAGAGGGCACTACCTACGCATACTTGAGACGTCCTGCCGTCGAGGTAGTCCGAGATGATCTTCACCAGGTAGCTGAGGAAACGAAATTGCAGAAGCTTGTGCACCAAGCCGTCGTGCCACACGTGTGTGGGGCATGAAGTAGTTCGCCTCCTCGTGGTGTGCCCTGGAAACGCTAATTATCGAACCCAAGGGAGAGATATTGCGGCTAAACGAACTACCGCAGAGTAGCGACGCTGGAACCCCATCCAGCTCGTCCCAGGAGGTTGATAAGCCCTGCACAAACCCTCGTTGTGCAAAGGCAGGAGTGACGCCGGGTTCTTAGAGTGCTTAGCACACGCAGCTGGTAAGCGGTCACATCTGTCCTAAGCTGCCCTGTTGGACAGTTAGCTGGCTATCACGTCTGCTCTAGAACTCAGGCGAACAACGAACAGCGAACAACAAGAGAAAGGCCCTGCACAGCTGCTCACTGTGCAGTAGCGAGTGTCACGTCGGACACAACACCTAGTGATGCGCCATAGCGCAATCGGTTCCCCAGAATCCTGGAGGAGTGCTGCTTGGTTCGGCTTGCGTCGAATTCCTATACTGCCTTCTGGGCAGCGGAAGGGGAGGAAGGTTTGGTGCGCGTCCTTCGGTTGGAGGAAGCGGTGGAAAACCATTTTCAGATCGATTCCGGGTAGTTGCTTTTTTTTTTGCTGTCTCGGCTGGCTTGCTCTCTTCCACAGAGCGATGAATTCGGCCCGCTTGGGACACGATCGACTAGTCGATGTGTGGGCATTCCCGCAGTTGACACAGGTTGGCTGCTTGTCCTTCATGTCCACGATGCATTGGGCAGTGGCATGTTTTTGGCCGCATTTAGAGCAACGCGATTTCATATGGCAGTTGCGCACGCCATGTCCGAAATTCAAGCAGCTGGTACACTGCGTCACTTCACGGTGGACCGGCTTGTACCGCTCCCACTCGACGACGACACTGAGCAGCGTTCGGATGCTTTGAAGCTGTCTAATGTTTGTGGATCCGCCAACCAAATGCACCAGGTACAGTTGGTCGCGATACTTGATCGCCTTGTTGTGGCGTTTGATCACGAAAACCTTCATGGGTTGAAGGTTGTTGCGTTTCAGCTCTTCTTCCACAACCGAAACATCCAGCTCGTGCAGCCCGCGTAGAATGACCTTGAAGGGCTTCGTTGACGGCACGTCGTGGGTGAAATATTCCACCTTCCAGAGTTGCAGTGTCTCCGCCACGGAAATTCGGCCCGTAGCCCTTTACGGACTAGCACAATCAGATTGTCAAGCAGCTCGCGTGGCTGTCCCTTGACATAGAAAGGAGGCAACTTCTCATTTTTCTCAACGCTTTCACGCCTTTCGCCATCATCCTCCTGGAGCAGCGAGAACTGGTTGAGTGCTAGCACCGGCTTCGTATGTCTGGCATCGACATTGTTATCCACCGGCCGCTTGCCGCCTTGCTTCTGGCTACCGCTTGGGTCCGGTTTACCCATGCTTGGGTTGAACGAGAAAAAACTTGCGAATACACGGGAGAAAAGAATACTTGCGCTCGACCACACCGAGTGCTGATCGTAGTATCTGAGACGGAGAAAACGATTTGGCAAGCGTTTTTATTGTATCGATGCTTTTCTCCTTTCATTGGTCGATCAACCGAGCATTGGTTGTTTTTTTCTAGGAAGCTTTATCCAGCACAGTTTCAGCTTCAACTTATGGGTAGAACAATCACTCACAGCATGCCGTTTAAGTATTTAGGTGTCTGGTTCGATTCCAAGTGCACTTGGGGAAAACACATAGCGTATCTGGGGCAGAGATGCCAACAGCGAATCAATTTCCTTCGTTCCATTACCGGCACTTCATGGGGAGCCCATCCGGAAGATCTGATAAGACTCTACGTCTACAAGACCACCATTCTCTCGATTTTGGAGTACGGTAGCTTTTGCTTTCAATCGGCGGCGGGGACGCACATATTGAAGCTCCAAAGGATTCAATATCTTTGCATTCGAATCGCGCTAGGTTGTATGCAATCGACGCATACCATGAGTCTTGAAGTTCTTGCGGGCGTCCTCCCCTCCTCGTTTTGCGGATTTATCGTTCCGGTTCCTCATCCGCTATGAAGTCATGAACTCGCTGGTGATCGAAAACTTTGAGAAGCTGCTAGAACGGAATCCTCAAACACGATTCATGAGCTTGTACTACGAGTACATGACTCTGGACATCGGTCCCTCCTCGTTCAACCCCAATCGCGCTGTCTCCCATCATTTCAGTTGTTCTTCCGTGAGATTCGATCTCACAATGAGGCAGGAGATTCAAG